AACATCGGAAACTTATTCAGAACTGCAATTACACCCTCCCGAATTTGAGCTTCTAGGTCCACCCTGATCGCTACTTTGCGGTCAGGGGGAGAATCAATATCGATATGCTCTAAGAGAGTAGCCAGTTCAGGATGTGATTCAAACTCGGTTCGGCGAGTTTCGACCTCAATGCTGTTTACCAGCATTCCTCAGGTATTCATCTTTTTCAAAGCCTCCCAATAGCAAGTTCGGGCTGTCGCCGGATCTGTCCGGGCTACCCCGACCCCAGTATCCGTCGGGAATTTTATGCATGAATGCCGGACAGAAGCTATCGCCTCCAGATCTTCCAATCCTGGTTGGCACAAAATGGCGTTGTGGGCACATTTGATGTCCACCACCACGAATGTCATTCGGACTGATGCCTTATGGGCTTCATCTCCAATTTCGACTAGCAACTGGATAGTTCCCTCCGCCTTAATGCAGTTCCCAGTAAAGCTCGCAAGTGGGGTCTTCAGGTGGGTCAGCTGATTCCTCTGCAGCCCCATTTTCTCGAATAATTGTAAGTACAACACGTTCACACTGCTCCCCGTGTCTACCAACACCCGGCGGATCAGTGCATTGTCAATACACATGCTTATGACCAATTCGTCCCTGTGCGGACTTGGTGAATTGGGCCAATCTGCAGGTCCGAACGTGATCTGCTCCATTCTTCCTTTGTTTTGGGAGGAGGGGTGGGGGTGGACACGGATCCCACATAGAGGCTTCGTTCAAACTTTTTTCGTTCGGCAGTTGAATCCCCTGTTTTCCCGCCCCTGAATATCACCTTTACTTCCATCCTAGCCTTTTTTCCGGGTTCCCCGAACCCTCTGCTTCGTCTCTAGGGGTAACGTATACATCATTCCTAGGCTGAGCATCACGCTGATCATCCCGTCTCTGGTTGAGGCCTACAACACTCAGATCTTTGTTCATGTTATTGTCCAAGTGACCCCACTGGATCAATTCCTCGATAGCTATCTGTAAAGCTCGGCAGAAATGGGTGGGGTGACCCTTCCGCTTGTGGTACTTACAGAAGGCATTCTCATCTGATCCCATGAAAGATTTGGTGTGAGTTGGAAGGGGAATATTGTCCTTCTCATGCTGCAAAATCGTCGCAATGGACAGGACGAGCGGGGTGAAGTGTCCTGGCTTAGGAGGAGGTGCAGCCTGTGGCATAGGACCCAGCCGATCGGCCAGTCTTGTTGGGGCAGACGGTGTAGCCACCTTATCTCTGATCATGATTTCTTCCTCCAGGGATGCGTGCTTTTGGGCCCTGTCCAGCATTTCGGCATACGCTGCGCCCAGATTCTTTTTCAAATCCTTGAACAGCTTTCCTGTTCGGAGGGCATTAGTGAACAGGGTAATTGTCGTATCCTCCGTCATGCTTCCAACCTTCAGGATTTCATCTCTCCATCTTTTCAGAAACTGATTGATGGATTCCCTCAGTCCCTGCTTAACACTGGTCAGGTAACTGAAATGTCGTTTTGGGGTAGCACTGGAAGCAAACTGTGCAAAAAATAAGGATGATAATTCGGCAAAGCTACCGATCGATCCGGGCTACAGCGTTCTGAACCACTCCTGGGATGGTCCCCTTAGTGTGTTGAAGAATAGTCGGCAAATGGCTGCCTCTGTGGCTCCCAACAGCATGAGCCCTCCTTGGTAACTCCTCAAATGTACGTGGGGATCTTCTGCCCCGTCATATATCTGACCGGTTGGTGGTTTGGCATCCCTTTGGATCTCCACATTCATTATTTCCCGGGTGAAGGGGGAAGTGATCCCGACCCTTACCGGGGTAGGTTGTAGGGGTGCCCTGTTCATCTGATCCCTCATCTCATTCATCTGCCTCCTCATTTCGGCCATTTCTTCCTCCTGCGCCGTTAGGGGAGGTGGTGGCGGAGTTCCTAGATTAACAAACTCCCGATTTCCTTCCGGTGGGGGTGTTCTCTCATTCCGACGTTCCTGTCTGAATCTGGTGTTATCACGTTCTTCATACTAGAAATGGCGCCCGATTGGCGTAGTTCCTCTGGCTCGGGACCTGGTCGGGGTGTGGTCACTAGGGGTGTGTTGCTTGCCCTTAGACGTGTGAGTCCTTCGGTGACCTTCCCGATGGGATCGTGAATGGGTCGAAGCAGTGCTTGTTTCTGTATCGGTGGTCTCCTCATCGAATGATTGCATCGATAGGAGTGGGGATGGGGTCGTGTACCCGGTTTCCCCTGTGTAGCTGGATCGCCTCCCGTCTTGCTCATCTGCCATGTGCTGCATGACCTGGGCTAGATCCCGCATGGCGTGGGGGTTCCTCCTCAGTGCTTCGGGGATGTAAAAGTCCCCATCAAAATGTTGGTATGATCCCCGACTGGATTGCCCGTGAGGGGTCCAGTTCTCTAGAGTCCTGCTCCCTTCGCGTGCTCCGAACTTTCATCGGTATGATGAGAGGTGATTCTAACCATCCTGATGGTAGGTTGGTGTTAGGGTAAAATAGTTGGTTTGAAAACTTTTTGTTCAAGTTTCCCATAGACGGCGCCAATGTTGAGGTTAAGTCCCGCAGATCTGAAAGCCCAACACACGCTTTGGATATTAAAGATATGGAAAATAAGTCGAGGGTCTAAGAAAATATAAAAGCTGAGTAATAATATGCTCAAAAGCCCACTTGTATTAAGCAATTCACTAATTACACGGGAAACTTCCCAAACGGTACGTCAGAATAGTGATGATACAATAACAAGAATGATAAAGCTATTCTAGGCTTTGAGTCTCAAAATTCTAACCCTTTACAATGAGATTAAAGCCCCTATTTATACTAATAAAAGGGGATGGGGTGATGACATGGCTGAATCTGACTTGCTGCCGTTCTCGAGCCACTTGGATGCCCATACTCCCACTTGCCGATCCCATACCCTAGCATTAAATGCCCCTTGTCACTTGCAGGCTACCCGTTCGGGCTTCAGACTGATGCCCATGTTGCTGTCATTGTTAATCTGGCCCAAGTTACCTGCATGACCCGATCCCCGTTTCGGGTAAAATCCCTCATGGTTCCCTGGATCTCGTTCGGTATAAGTAGTTACTGGGCCTATTCTTCTTTGGATCCTTGCTGATTAATGGGCCTGGTATATTGGGCTTTCGGCCCAATATCCCAACACTTATATATAACATCTTTGACTATATGAGTAGGATGAAAGTGAGAATGAACTTCTAAATCAGGAACAACACATAAAAAATGAAACTCAGAGTATGAATCAAAAACTTACAGGTTCACTTGAAGAAGAAAACGCTGAAAAATTGTCGCTACATGTGTGTTGTGAATCAGCATGGGAATAGGAATGAATGTCTTCTGAGTTCATCAAATTAGTTGGTTGATGCACTAGTTCATCCATGGTAGCAACATTGGGTTCATGGGAATAGAAATGAATGTTTGCCGAGTTAACAAAATCATTACATTGGTGCACCGGATCATCCATGACAGCAACATTAAGATCAATTGGAATAAAAGTGGCAGGCTTATCGTTTTGCTAAACAGTCATCAACGGAGAGTCGGAAGATATATTGAGATCAATTGCAGATTATTCAGGAGAGGTATGATTATTGATGCAACCAGGGACACTAAATAACTCAACACACAAAGGAAACATAACATAGTCCAGGTGAACTGTTTTCAGAGCCAAGTAAAATTCCAGGCTACAAGGATCACTAACAACTAAAGGAGGTGGACATGCATCAACAAGGTAAGATATCTTAATCCTTGTATTGTTAACAGATTCACCAATGCATGCATAAACCAGTGAAGTAAACTGATCATATGATGTCTCATCAGGTACTATTAACCCAAAGTTTCATTTGTCAGAGAAAGAATTTGAGTTGTCCCAAATACCATCAATTTAAGCATACACAACATGATTACAGCAACAGTAGTAACATGTAAAAAGAGAGCAACTATGAAACGCAATTACAAATGAGTATCAGTAACTTTATGTCTACATATCAGCCAAAACAATACTAAATATGACAATAAAAACACTATACAAAACAGAAACACTATATAAGTACAAAAGCATGAATTTATAGACTTAAATGTTGAAAATATTCATTATAACAACAAAAGCAGATCACACATGATAAAACAGAAAAACAGAGACATTAAAAACAAACACAAAACACTGCAGATTAAACATGCAAATTAAGCACATAACGTATGGACAACAAAAACATGAACATTAAACACGTAGATTAATAGCACAAACAATACAATCACAAAATTTACGAAGCAGCAAAAACATAAAGCAACGGTCCAAAGTAAAACCGGAGAAGAGAAACGCTTGGAAGTGCAATCGATTGCAAGTTCATAATCAGAATTGAAGCTTAAAGATAAACAAACTGATAGATATTACATACACGAAATTCGTTATTACATGGAAACGACAAGTTGACTAAAAAATTCATTAATAAATTAAGTAATTCTTACCAAAAAGTTGCAGAGAAGTTTTCGAACTTATGAGTCTAGACGAACGACCATACGACGCTTATGATCAATTCATGGAGATCGATCGAGATTGGAAGAAGTTTACGACGGATCGCAGACAAGAAGAATGAAGAACGAAGAAGGAAAGGAGTTCGGTAGTTGGGGAAGTTGTGTTCGGTTTTATTGAAGCGGAAGTTATTTGCGTTTAGTAACACTTAAATTGAGGGTAAAAATGGAAAGTTAAAAACAACCTTCCTAATACAGAACCAAATAAAGTCCACAGCTGAAAATAAAACAAGAAAGTCCTAATTTTGAAAAGGAGCAATGATTTGGTCCTACGAACAGCAAATTTCTCGCAAAAATTTACTCATATTCAAGGAATAAAAAACATGATCGTCCTATTTTAGAATTTCAAAACTTTTTTACTCTTATTTAGGAAATTCTCTCTTTTATCTTATAGCCATATTTAAAGTTATTTCTTTAGAATAAATATACCGAGTACTAGGTAACAACTTTTATATTGTGCATTTAATTTTGTCCTTATTTTTATTCTATTTGGAACAACTGCTTCATATGGATCTGGTGATACGGGAATTCGTGGGCTGAGATTAAACCATGAACTTCCCTCTAGCGGCGGCGGCGATTTTGGCTACCACTTTTTTAGTCATTTTTATTCACAACACACTTTTCCGGCGTAGCAAAAAAGTGCCTGCAGCCGGCTTCGCCTGGCCTGTAATCGGCCATTTCCACCTCCTCGCCTCAAATGAGCGGCCCGCCCACAGAATCTTGGCCGACATGGCCGACAAATACGGCCCAATATTCCGGCTGAGGCTCGGCGCCCGTGAAGTCGTGGTGGTGAGCGACTCGCGGATCGCTAAAGAATGCCTCACCGTCCACGACACAGCCCTCTCGGGCCGACCAAAGGCGATTTCCTCGGAGCACTTCGGCTCCAACTACGCTAGCTTTGCGCTCGCCCCGGCCGGCCCGCTCTGGCGGGAAATCCGCAAGGTCGTCGTACTTGAGCTGCTATCCAGCCGCCGTTCTGACGCGCTCAGGCGCGTCAGAGAATCGGCATCGGAAAAATTCGTCCACGACATCTACCGGGCCTGGCTGACGGCTGGGAAGAAAGATCCGTCCGAATCCGATGATGTTTTTGTGATACTTGACATGAAGGAGTGGTACTGGAAATTAGTGACCGGCGTATTGTTCGGGATACTCTTCGGGGAGATGCACGAGGAAGATTGGAGCGGGACGGTGGCGACGGTGAAGAAATTCTTCAGCCTTATGGGTGCGCAGGTTGTGGGTGATTACCTGCCATGGATGAGATGGATGGACATAGGAGGTTATGAGAAGGAGATGAAGAAGGCTGCCAAGGAGATGGACAGTCTTATGGAAAGGCTGCTTCAGAAACACAAGAGTGAAAAGGGGGTGAAATGTAAGGAGGAAGAGGACTTCATGGATACATTGCTTTGCCATTTTGATTATGGAAAAGAAAGTGTGGATGGTTTTGATGCTGATAGGCTTGTGAAAGCAACTTGCACGGTACATTTCACTTTTTCCCTTCTCCCATTCTTGCACGGTAGATTTTAGTGCCATGGCCGAATAGTTAACTCAGAATTCAATTTGATGAATTTGTTAGGTTCTGTAGTTTTAGAACACCTTCGGTAGTACTCCCTCCGTTCCTAAAAATTCTTCTCTGTTTGACTTGGCACGCTTATTAAGAAAGTGGAATAAAGTGGAAATGTATGGTTGTGGTTGTGTAAGAAAAAGGTAAAATGAATGTGAGCCACACAAATTGTCCAAAATGGGAAAGTGAGAAGTATTTTTGGGAACAGCCCAAAGAGGAAAGTGGGAAGTATTTTTGGGAACGGAGGGAGTATCAAATAGGCCGAAATTTCTGAAATTCTGACGGAAGTGGTTGAATTGTCAGATTCTACGGATTTATGGAAATTAGATATTGAAAATAAGTATATTTTAATAATAAAATAAAGAAAAAATTATATGTAAATATAGCTAAAATGATCCTCTACAGTAACTTCAGTCGATACGGTCAGAAAAATAATTTCAACCTTAATTTTTCTAATTATTTCCTCCGTTTCTAAAAGAAACTCACACTTTCCTTTTGAAATGTTTCAAAAACAAAGTCACACTTTCCTTATTTCCTTATTTGGCAAAGAAATCTACATCCAAATAGTGTCAAACAGTGTGAAACAGTGCCAAACAGTGTCCAAACAGTGTATAAACAGTGTTTTCTACAGTAAACTCAATTTATTTCCTTAATAATCGTGAAGTCAAACCGTGACTTTCTTTTGAAACCGGAGGAAGTATTACACAATTCAGCGCGCGAAATCAAAAGTTACATGTTTGGTGAAAAGTTGGTTAGATAAGTTTGATAAGCCGACAAACAGTGTTACAAAACGGGCTTTTAATCTATTTTTATTTGATCTACTCTTATTTGGTTTTAAAATCATAAAATTTTGAGTTTCACACTCGGAACGTGATATGTAGATTTACAAGTTACAATGATAAACACAAGTTACATAATGATAGATAATACACAAACAATATTAGTCATTTTTTATGAAAACAAATACGGAGTAAGGGTTTTTTGGATCTTACTCCTTTGAGTAGCATAAGACATTGTTTGGGCGTAGACATTGTTTGGGCAAAAGTGCAAAAGTACTTCGAAAGGCTTCAAACTGTTTCTAGAAGCACTTTTTTAGAAATTGTGAAAACCAGTTCATGAAAACTGATGTTAATTCTACTTTTGCTTTTAGAAAAAGTAAAAAAGGCATAATCTATTCCAAACACCCCCATAATATACTAAGATAAATGCTATTTGTAGACGATCCATTACACGCTGATGTGAGTTTTCTCGCACTTAAAATATGTAGCAGTTTAGGGTGTAAATGCGAGTATCGTCTCCACAGGAACAGACAAAAGGGAATTAAATATTAATTAAATTCAGCGATAAAAACTAACCAAGAAAAATAAAAAAATGCAATTGTGCGAGTTTGGTTGGATTGAAAAATTAAACTAACGCGAAAAAGCAGATAAAATTAAGGGAGACTCTCTAATTAATGGCGATAGGGAATATGGATTGATTCCGGGGTAATCAGATTTCTGGTTGATCAGGCTTAATTACATTAAATTAATTTAACTGAGTCTCGCTAATGATTACTAAGTTCTTACTGCTCTCGCGGTGTAGAGTACAATAGTTTAAGGGACCAGGCTGATCTCTCATGCGACAGGATCCAAAAATTATTGTCAAAACGAGCAAGCGTACGGCCCCTTAATAGTTACTAATCTCTTAGCGAACGATTAAATGTGTGTGAAGGTGTCCTAGAATAAATTAGATCTCTCTTAAATAATTCTATAAACAATTGTAATTCTAGCCGCGGTTCTAGGTTACAAGAGATCAATTAAATTATTTAAACATAAATTAAATAAAATTCATGCAAATTAACCCCTTCATCAATCCCAAATCCCTAATTAAAACTACTCACAACTCATAATTGAATAATCAATAGAATTGGGATGAAAAAAATTAATTGTCATTAATTAAAATGTAGGAACTTACAAATAATCCAAGTGGATTGAAGAACAAGGTGGAAAAGTAGAAGAAATTTCGTCCCTAGACCTCTCTCTAAGCTCCGTGACAAAAACAGGGGTTTACAGGATGTTTAAATAGAAAACAGAACAATCCAGGCCGAAATAGGACACCAGGGGGTGAAAAACTGCCAGGCACGGCGTGCCTCCCTAGTAGGCACGGCGTGCCTCCCTAATAGGCACGACCGTGTCTGACCCCTAGAGAGTTGGTACCCGTTTCTTCTATAGGCACGATCGTGGCTAAGGCACGACCGTGCCTTCCTTTTCGAATTTGACAATGCTTCCTTCATGAAAGTTGTAGATAATGAAGTCCTCTATCCACCACAACTTGAAAAACTGGATTTGGATCATCCAATCAAAAGATAAGAATAAAATGGTGGAAAGTCGCATTCTGAAATCGCAACAGGGATCATCTGACTTCATCATCTGTTTTCACCTTGCTCCTCTCAGATTATCTAAATGGTGTCTTCATATGACTTGTATCCCTTGAAGTTGGCTTTCATATGGAACTCTAATCGTGTTATTTGGATGTTTCTACAAAAAGATATGCTTGAATAATTGACAGAATGTCATCTTGAACGCCGTTTTCAAGCTCTATTCCTCTTCATTTGATCCTGTCGCCATTCCTAGAGCTCTTTTATCATCGAATCTTCATCGTGAACCTCCCGGTGACTTCCAAAGTTCTCAACTCTCTCTCGAATGCATAATCAACTCATCCCGATTGCTTCTCAAGTGCCAGGGCCGGACTTTAATTCCTGATTTTGACTCCAAACAATACAAAACTCGAACCAACACTCGGTAACTATGACTTGAGCTAAAATTGAGACTTGTGACACAAAATAATTAGGGAAACCATCAAAAGTAGATCTAAACATGCATCAAATGCGTGTCTAAATAGGACTTGCTAGATTCCCCCACACTTAAGCTTTTGATTGTCCTCAAGCAAACTGAACTGCTTGTCCTCAAGCAAACTGAACAACGAGACTTACGATAATCACCACACGGAATCAAAACAATTAGCATGCACAAGTAGTAAAAGGGATATTCACAGAACATACAGACTAAACCAAGAAAGTTCTTCCTTAAACTACATCCTTGTAGTCTGTCTAAAGTTAATGACAAATTTATTCACAATATCCTCAAAGTAGTGACAACCTACACTAATGAATTTGCTACCAACCAGGACTTGTGAAGGTGGTGGTGAATGGTAAGGAATATAGGTCCCTTTCTTTGAGTGTTTTGGAACAACCTGACAAAGACTTAATGCATTTAGGAATTTTAGGGTTATTCTTAGGATCAAGGATTCAGTAGGTCACTAATTAGGAACTATCATCTAAACCTATGCAAAAAGTAGACATGTGTATAACTAAGCTAAATCGTCGCGACACATTGGTGATTTGACGTATACTTGAAGTACGTGAAAGACTAATGCTAATTTTGCAAAAGCCTTCAAGTTCATTTAATTAGGTTTAGTTTCCCTTGTCATGTTGGCACGAGAACGCCATTTCTTTCGAAAGATATCCAAGTCTCATCTTATTGTGCGAACACTTACTCTTTTTGACCGGAGCTCCCATTCTCTTTTTGGCAAGGTAAGATCTCTAGCTATATTAATTAATTTTTTCATTTCCAGACTTTTCACTAGGCATTACCTCATTCTAATCTCGGCCTCACCAAGGAAAATTATCAATTAAAGTTCAATTATTCAAAGTGAATCGATGCCTACAATGCAATCCTCGAAAATATCAAATTCCTAAAAAGTGATTGCTCTTACCCCGATTGCGGCATAGGAACAATGCCAAAGCTGGCTCCTACAAAAATTCCCTATCCTTAGAAAATTAATCCCCTAGTTCCCTAAACATCAAGACTTCGTCAGACTTATTCACGGGTAAGGAAACATGTCATTTGGCTATGGAGTTCAATTGATTAGGTAAATAACAAAATGGTCAGGGTCAAAGTGGCTTCTCCTAAAGGACTCATTCAGGTGGAATGGAAGATTTATGAATTCAACGGGTGACTAATGCCTTCATCCTTTCAACAACTAGATTATAATGTAAGCAATTTAAGCCTAAACACTTCAAAGATGTTCTAAAAGCATAATCAAAACGCTAGCCAGCTCACAAAGACACAATTCAAAGAAAAAATTTCCAAAGTTTTGACATGACTTTCCTATGATGGCCATTCCTAGAGCTCTATTCCTCTTCATTTGATCCCGTAGTCATTCCTAGAGCTCTTTTATCATCGAATTTTCATCGTGAACCTCCCGGTGACCTCCAAAGCTCTCAAGTGCCAGTGCCGGACTCTAATTCCTGATTTTGACTCCAAACAATACAAAACTCGAACCAACATCCGGTAACTATGACTTGAGCTAAAATTGAGACTTGTGACACAAAATAATTAGGGAAACCATTAAAAGTCGATCTAAACATGCATCAAATGTGTGTCTAAATACGAACTTATCACACGCCCAAGTGTAGGGTATGTTTGGCACAACTAGCTGAAAAGATACTTTTATAAGCTTTTTACTAACTGTTAGCTTTTAGTGACTGAAAAGATCTTAAAAAGAAAAGGCAGTACCTGTTTGGTAAAAAGCTGACTGTTTGATTTAGCTCTGTTTGGTATACAAGCTGTTAAGACTAATTAATACTAGAAGCTACTGACTTATCTGAGATGCTACTCACTGTAGCATCTCAAAAACATCTTTTATTTTTATAAAAGCTCTTAAAAATTGGCATGTCAAATATACAACTAGAAGCTTTTAAAGATTTTTTAAATAGTATAAAAGCTAGAAGTCAGGGACTTATGCATGCCAAATATAGCCGTAATTATTTGTGCACAACCAATTGATTTTGATTTTAGTAAAAGAACTGTTTGTGACCCCCAAAAAATGAATTGTCTGTGCATGGGCAACTCGAGATCAGAGACAATTCCCTTTACTAAAATAAAAATCAATTTTCTGAGCACAAACAATTACATTTGAGTGTCTAAAATAGCGTGCAACCGAGCGTGTACAAATCACATTTCTCTATTATTAAACAATCTAAGAAATAAGGAAACATTATATGTAGTACTTCCAGTCCTATAGAATTCATTTCACTTACCATTTTTGGATATTAAAAAATATTGTTCTTATTTCTTTTTGAAAAATTTTGTGTAACTAACATTCATTTACTTTTTTGTCTTACTCAAACATAATCATACATTTCCACTTTATTTCGACATTTCTAAACTCGGATCCAAATCAAACTTGAAAGAATTTTATGCAATAAAGGGAGTATTATTTATGATACATCTTTGCTCCGGAATGCAAAGATCTACTTCATATGTCCCATTCTAAAGGTCTCACTTTCCTCATTTGGATGTATCATTTAAAACTCTCAGTTCTATTTTAGGACACATCTTACACTCTTAAATTGTAATTTAATCATCGAATACTAAAATTATCATTAACTTCATTGTATTATATACCCGTCAAATCTATTTCTTAATATTGTCAATTGTCTTTATATTGTGGCCTAAGTTCACTCATAAATGATGGTTGAATAATAATGAACCAGTGGAGCTAGTGAAAACAACGTGTACAAACATTTTGTGACACACATTGTACTCAATAATTACTCGATCAAGGACGGAGTACTCCAAGACTACGACAATGCAAGATTACATGCTGTGTCGGGGCGGGCCCATTGGGATGGAGATTCAACCTTTTGGACCGATATCATTTTACGTAATGCTCAATTTGTGTATAAATAAACACCACTCATTTGAAAGGTTATGCTAAAAATGAATATTTATCCTTTATTTTTTAAAATAAGGCTCATTCACTCCTAATTAGAGAAGTTTTATTATAGCCCTCCTTCATAGAATCAAATAAGTCATATTCTAGAAATAAAATATAGTTACTCATATTTGTGTGTTTTGTCAGTGTTTTACTTCTATTTGGAACAATTGCTTTAAAACTCATTATCTTATTCCATACTCGATGTATTGTTTAATTGTTATTTACAAACTAGTTTCATTGGGAAAACATCTTCAAATCACGTAATACTCAGCTCCACATTCATTATTATAACAAGTGAGAGTTCCCTAAATAGGCGTTAAAAAGTTTTTTGAAATTCCAAAATAGGACTATCATGTTTTTTATTCCTTGAATATGAGTAAATTTCTACCAAGCTTGACATTACTAGGCTTTAAAACATGACATTTTTTTCCAAACTTTGCAGATTACTTCTTTTCAGGGAATAAAAATATGATACTCATATTTTGGAATTTAAAAACGTTTTTGCTCATATTTAGAGCAATTTCTATTATAACAACTGTACTTTCTAAAACCATTTACTCCCTTATGGTACACTCACATAGTGAGTAATTTTACAGAATCACATGTGACTCCCTTATGGAGTCATATGGGTGTTGTGGCATGATATCTACCAATATCTTGCGAATATAATACACATTTCGGTATCACACAAAACTAGTTTTAGTCATGCTTATGTAATAAATTCATGACAGACTTGCATTAGTAAAAATATGTGACTTGATAAACACATGCGTGTTTTATGATTCGAGATATGCATTGTTTGTGATTATAAAATTTTTGATTTACTTCCAAAAGTATTACTACCTCCGTCCCAATTTACTTAGTCATCATTGACTTTTCTAGTCAATTCAATGACGATAATCTTTGGGTGATCATTTTAACATCTATATTTTAGTGAAAATTATATATTTTTTACTTTTATGATAATATTTCTAACAAAGAATATTTTCATATCACTTTCATACTTTAAATATTTTCATATATAAAGATACTATTAGTCAAAATCTAGCATCTTTGACTGGAAAAGTCAAAGATGACTAACTAAATTGTGACAGATGGAGTACTATGTTTTTTTATAATTTTAACATAAAGTACACACCTCTTAAAATCATTCTAACTCCGTGTGATGATTGAGATTCTCTTTTCATTAATTCATCAATTTTAGTTTTCATGTTCAAATTTGAAGAGTACTTTATTCCTTGTGACAGACATTGTTGGGAGCAGGAACAGAGACAACTGCAAATTCGTTAACATGGGCCTTGTCTTTAGTATTGAACAATGACAATGTGCTTGAGAAGATCCGAGGTGAGCTTGATATGCATGTTGGGAAAGAAAGGCTTGTCAACTACTCTGATCTAAACAACATGACTTATCTTCAGGCTGTGATTAAAGAAACATTCCGACTGCATCCTCCAGCACCCGCCTTGTTACCCCATGAATCCATACAAGATTGCGTGATCAGTGACTACAACATCTTGAAGGGCACGCGGTTATTGGTAAATGCATCAAAGATTCACCGTGATCCAAATTACTGGTCAGATCCTGAAGCATTTAAACCAAACAGGTTCTTGACAAATGAGCACAAAGAAGTGGATGTGAGAGGGAAACACTTTGAACTAATCCCCTTTGGAAGTGGAAGGAGAGTGTGTCCTGCCATTTCTTTTGGACTTGAAAGTGTGCAATTGGGTTTAGCCAACGTTATTCATGGGTTTAATTTGAGAAGGCCTTCAGATGAGCCGATTGACATGACGGAAAACGGTGGCCTATCCGGTGGAAAGGCAACTCCATTGCAAGTTCTCATCACTCCACGATTACCTTCTCACATCTACCTTAATTTGAAACATGTAACTTGATGAATCAAAAGTGTGTGTATTTTTTTTTACTTCGTGGGGTCAGAGGGAGGGAGCTGGAGGAGCTTGGGGTACGTGAACATGGCTGAAACTCCCTTTATGGAGTTTCAAACCCGAGACCTCCCATATGGGAGGGTGAGTCGGCGACTAGCTTAGTTGAACCGCTTCCTCTAAAAATGCGTGTAACTTGATTTATAAGTTAACTAGAAATAAAACTTGACTTAATATGTAATTAAAGCTTATTCGTGAATGATATGACGTATATCATGATGTGTATCCATGCAGAGGTAAGCTTTGGGTGTAAGCATTGTTCTAAGATTAGCCTAGTCATCAGTCTGATTAATTGGTGCTTAAGCGCTAGGTAGCCTCTAGTTGTGGAGGACTAGTTGCTTAAATCAGCTTAGTCAGTGTTTTTGCGATAGTTACCCCTGGACCACCCGACTAGCGTCTATCAAGAGGAGGTAATCAATGGAGTAGAGGGGAAAAGAGATAATTGATCGTAAGGATGTTAATTAATTATATACGGGGGTCGTGCCAATTTGGGGTCATATAAGGTAGAGCCTCAGACCCTAAAGAATTAAAACAAACGGGCATAAAATTTTAGTAATTCATTTATATTATTTATATATATGTGTGTGTGTGTGTTATATGTGTGTAACATAATGTAAATTTATTCTCTTATATTTGTGTGTCATTCATGTTGAACTCTCATTATCTCGTATCATCTCATTGTTTTCAAAATCTATATTTGTTCTTGTTGGAAAATATTTCATTTAAGTGCCCTTGGACCAATTATATAATTTAATAAATATTGCGGACATTTATGTCTTACCATTAAGTTTGTCATATGATAGATTTGGTCTCTGTATTTATGTATAGTTAACATATTATGGGTATGTTTTAACATTAAATAATAATAAGGGGCCAAATGGGTTTCTCTTTGATACAAGATAAAAACACCCGTACATTTCCATTCTTACGAATAAAACGTCTGGACACGTCTCTTCCCAAAGGTCTCAAGAACACCTATATTAGGAGACCCAAGGGAGATCGTTTAATCCATCAAATCCGCTTGTATCCTTAGAGAATCTAAACGTCATGGCTTCGTCATCTTCTACGGCACCATCAACGTTCGGTTTCTCCTCAACCGGTTAGTGTTCGTATTGTTTGATTTTAGGAATTTTATCCTATTTGGGACTGATTTTCTCAAACATTTGATATCAGAGCCTGTTAATTCTCGCTTACATCGATAAAGTTTTGAATATGCCGTATTTAATTTATTCATATGTGTTGTGCGGAAATTTCAATCGGCCATTTTGTTTTCCACTGGCCTTGTGAATATTTAGTCACTTTCATTTATGCTGTTAGGATAATTATTGAATTTGGAATTCGATGTTTTTTTTGCGTAATCACAAGTCGATTCCACCGGTTTATAAACCAGATGATATCATAGTATGTCTTTTAGTGTACTGGATTCAGAAAGTTGCTTTTCTAACTTATATCCTGATATATGATCGATGTGTTACTCTTCTTTGAACCATTATTGGTTAGTTTTTTGGAATCTGAAATTCACATCTGATAAATGTCAGTTTTGAATCTGCAATATTTCCAGAATGTATAATATCAACATAAATGCAAAAATACAGCCCATTTAAAATACGTATACACAATCTGAAATTTTATTTAAGAAAAGTTGCAAGTCATCAGTTTATCTTTGGGAACATGATATCAGTTGGTTTTCTATTCTTAAATTGTAAATCGTTAGTTATTTTTTTTAGATTATGGAATATAGATTACGTAAAGGATGTTTTCTTAAACTGGTACATTAAGATAATGCCCTTCCATTCGTTTTTTTTGTATAAAGGGCCTTAGTTTTTTAAATGTTCTTATTTGCACTCATTTGAAACTAACGACTTGGTCATTTACAATTTAAAAGATACATAATCATAATGTACAATGCCGGACTAATACTGCAGCAATTTTGAATTTTCTGCCATATTCAAATTATGGATTATTGATGATCTTAATGTCAAATTCAATGATCGGCCCAACGGAAGATTATTGATTTTGACCATCTTAAAAAATTATATGAGTTTTCTTTTAACAAACCCAAAGGTGTGTTATTTGATAACTTATGTAATGAAATTTAAACATAATAAAGTGTGTTATATTTCTTTCCAAAGGTGATATGTAACACAATTTGGAGCCTAATTTTAATTGTAATATCATAATGTTTGATAGTTAGCATTAGCCAACACAATGTTAGTTATTAAACATGATATGAAATGTTCCTATTATTTGCTGTTGATGATAGACTTATTTACTAATAATTGACATGCCTTCTTGTATTCCCTTATATATTATAAATAGCTTCTATTGTTGCCTCTGTTAAAACTTTTATTTCAGCATCTACTGTTACCCCATACAATTATGGGATAGAAAATGCGAAAACCTACCTAGAATATATGGAAGAACAGTTTAAGGGCACTTCTAAAGCACATGCTAGTACCTTGATTCTTAAAATGTTGACGAGTAAGTATGATGGAGTGAGTGGTATTCGTGAGCACATCATGAAAATGTCTGATATGTCCAACAAACTCAAAAGTATGCACATGGAGATCAGCGAAGGTTTCCTCGTTCATTTCATAATGACTTCTCTACCTGCGTCATATGGTCCGTTCAAGATCAATTACAACACGCAGAAAGAGAAGTGGACAATGAGCGAGTTGATTTCTATGTGCATTCAAGAAGAAGAGCGCCTTAAAGTTGAAAGACCAGATGTTGCTCATCTCACCATCACGAACCCAAAGAAAAGGAAAGGCAAAACCGTCAAGGAGGTGGAAAAGGTCATGTTTCTAAGGTCCCAAAAATAGGTGCAAACGTGAACTCCGGTCCCTACTGTAAGTTTTGTCGCTTCAAAGGGCATTACCAGAGGGAGTGCCCTAAGTTTAAGACATGGCTAACTAAGAAAGGTAACTTAACCACTTATGTAATTAATGAGTCATTGAACACATCAGTTCCCCTTAATACTTGGTGGATTGACTCTGTTTCAATGGTTAATGTTTCAAACACACTGTAGGAATTCCATTCAATCCGGATATTGGGAAGAAAGCAAAGAGTGATTAAGGTGGGCAACGAAGAAGAATCAGAAGTGGAGGCCATTGGAACTATCTCATTAATTTTAGAGAGTGGCTTCATTCTTCATCTTCGTGATGCTCTTTATGTACCTAAAATTACTCGTAATTTTGTGTATGTATCAAAACTAAGTGCTGATGGTTTTACATTTAATTTCGTATACAATAAAGTGACATTAAGCTTGAACTCAAATCTAATAGGATTTGGTAGCATGGAGGGAAACTTCTATAAATTATGCTTAGATACTAATTTTATGGAATCCCCATTTTCATTTTATATAATTGAGAATCCTTGCAAGAGAAAGAGAGAATTGGAATCGTCATCCAATTTGTGGCATCAAAGGTTGGGTCACATATCACGAGATCGAATGATAAGACTCGTGAAAGACATCATTCTTCCAAATCTCGATTTCTTAGATTATGACAAATGTGTGAAGTGTTTGAAAGGGAAATTGTCTAAGAAAACTAACAAAGGCGCCACACGAAGCACCGGTTTGTTAGAATTAATACACACCGATATTTGTGGGCCTTTTTCCGATTCCATTAGTGTCATAAGTTCTTTATTACTTTCATAGACGATTATTCACGCTATATGTACCTATATTTGATTAAGGAAAAATCTGAATCACTAGATATGTTCAAGGCTTATAAAGCTGAAGTTGAAAATCAACTTGATCGAAAGATCAAAGTAGTGAGATCGGATAGGGGTGGAGAGTTCTATGATCGGCACATTGATATTTGCCAAGCTTCCGGATCTTTCCACTAATTTTGTAAAGATCACGGGATCATCAACCAATATACCATGCCCGGCACCCCTCAACAAAATGGGGTTGCCGAAAGGCGGAACATGACTCTTATGGATATGGTCCGAAGTATGTTGGTTAACTCTAATCTTCCCCAATTCTTATGAACCGAGGCCTTAAAAACAGCAACCCATATACTGAATAGAGTACCATCTGAATCTGTCCCTAAGACTTCATATGAGCTTTGGACGGGCAGGAAACCTAGTCTACGATACCTAAAAGTGTGGGGTTGTCCGCCTGAAGCAAAGGTGTATAATCGTCAATTGAAGAAACTTGACATGAGAACCATTGGTTAATCCGTTATTGGCTATCCCGAGAGATCTAAGGGATATAGGTTCTATTGCCCATCACATACTACCCGAATTGTCGAGACTCGACATGCTGAATTCCTTGAGAATACTAACATTAGTGGGAGTAGTAGTGTAACACACCGACCCCGTAGGCCCCGAGGTAGTTACTCCAGATCTCTAGTACTGTCCTCACAAACCACCACTATCCTTTTCCGCGCACTTTGTCCTCACTCGTGCGCGCCCCGAGAAACTTCCTAGGGGATCACCCATCCCAAGACTACTCCCGTGCAAGCACGCTTAGCTTTGGAGTTCTTAGGTGATGAGCTCCCTTAAAAGGAGATGCATCTTGTTGGTATGAGTAGTACTATTAATCCGTTTAAATTAAATCCCAAGTGTTACAATCACCCCCACTTAGGATTGAAACGTCCTCATAGCACTCAGAAGCCAATCTCAATCAAATCCCAGAATCTTTTCCCCCGCTAAGTGCCTGCCCGATATCCAACGGATCAGCACACTGCCGCAGGGTTGCTCTGATACTACCTGTAACACCCCGACCCCATAGGCCCCGAGGTAGTTACTTCAGACTTCTAGTACTGTCCTCATAAACCGCCACTAGCCTTTTCCGCGCACTTTTTCCTCACTCGTGCGCACCCCGAGATCGAAACTTCCCAGGGGGTCACCCATCCTAAGACAACTCCCGTGCAAGCACACTTAACTTTGGAGTTCTTAGGTGATGAGCCAACTTAAAAGGAGATGCATCTTGTTGGTATGAGTAGTACTATTAATCCATTTAAATTAAATCTCAAGTGTTACAAGTAGTGGTTCAAACATTTGTGATGAACTTCAAGAAGGTACTGAAATGAATCCACTTATTATACTGCCCATTCCACCTAACTCCTCACTTGAAGATCATAGTGAAAGTCATACGCCTCATAATAATGATGCTACAAGTCAAGAGGCGAATGAAACTCCAATCAATGTCGAACTAACTCCACCCGTTGCTAATGAAATTCCAAAAAATCAGCAACCCTTAAGGAGATCTCAAAGGGTCAGACGCCCCACAAAC